TTCTTCCCGTATTTACTCGGGTCGATTTACTATGCAGATCTAAATAAGACGCGCTCGCGGCACAATGGCTTCTTAAGCTTCTACATCAAGGTATTTGAGAGCGCCGTCACATGAAAAGCTGCCCCATCAAAGGCACATCCCTAATGAACTTCCCTATCACCGAGGGACGGTGCGGCGCTCAGGAGAGGCTCGCAGAGAGGCGCTAAATCACAGGAAGGATACCTCGGCGGCCCGGGGAGATTAACACACAACGGGGACCCTCAAACAGGAGGCCGTCCGAGCCCAACCCGGGGTGGCTTGCGGTTCAGCGGCAGCCAAATTAAAACTGCCAGGTAGGGGAAGAGTGGCGTGCACATCAAGGTAGGACGGACGCTTACGACAACCAGTGCGGCACGCAATTCTGCGTTTGCCACAACGATGACGGTAATCTTCAAAGCCGAGGAATAACCTCTAATTTCACGCCGTATTTGTTGCATCCTGCGTACACAGATGGGATTACAAGTCAAATCCCACAACTTACTTGCAAAAAGCGTGGTGGGCAAGAGAGAGGGAACATATATAACAGGGAGACGATGCTTTTTTAGTTATAATCGACATGCACCAGTGGTTTACAGAGGGGGGCCGGGGCAATTAGCCCCAGAGGCTGTGCACACTCTGGACCAGCACATGTGGCTCGCAGTCGAGCTCTAACATCACGGCATGATGAGAGGGCAATGGGAATACGGCGGTGGGGGTTGAACAAGAGCGTGTGCCAGCCACGCGTGTGCCAGGATCCAACTTCCGCTTCACATAGAGGCCAAAAAAAAAAGAAGGTAAATATGTGGGAGGGGCCGAATTCTCCATGGAGGCCTTTTCGGAAAACATCCTCAGCATCCAGCAGCCCTGCGGTCGTGCAACACAAACCGCAGTTGTCTTTTGCGTGTCTTTCCCTCCTCCCCTAGCAGTCTTCGCCCTGCCAAGTGGGCTCGATGCCAGTCGCATTTGCAACCACGAGGGACCGTTGCCTTTTTTTTTTCCTTGTTTAATGAAATGACAAAACAACAGATTTACATATGCAGAAACAGGTGTTGTAACAGGTTTGACTCCTCTTGACCTAAAACGTGTTGCGTGGGGGAAAACGAGGGAGGGGGGAAAAACAGGGAGGAAAAAAAAAAAGTTTATTAGCAACAGCTGCCTGGAGGGTGTTTAGGCTCTGATGGGCATTCAAATCTACACCATCTGCCTTGCTGGTTGCCAGAAGTGACAATCTAAATTAAAAACCACTCATCAAATATCATAAAAATAAACTATTGTATTGCTGTGGCCATATGCTGTAAGTGGCCCTATCAAAGACAAAGAGGGAATCAGAGGGAGTGTAATTAACCCTTGGCAGTCTCAAAGACATCCCTCAGCATCAATCACAACAATGGCTCCCTAGCTATTCACAAACACATAGGAATGTGAACAGACCCTGATACACACACACACACACACACACACAGCTAAACTAAGCTAAAGAATAATTGCTTTTTGTTGTTGATATTGTTTTTTGTTCAAAATATAATCGTGTTATTGACTTCCATTTTAGAGTTATTTTAGATTGCGCTATATATATATATATATATATATATATATATATATATATATATATATATATATATATATATATATATATATATATATATGATTGCATTTTTACATTTTAGCATGTTTTTAAAGCATGCTGTTCAGTGCTTTGCTATTTTGACATATGCAATAGTATGTATTATTATTAATTATGATCATTTATTGTTTATTACAAGCTATTATGAAATTTGAAAATGAGAAATTTAGCCTTAATAAAATTGTTTTTAGTAAGATCATGACAGTAACCCAAGAAAAGTGGCACTAGAAAATTTAAAGAATCTTGAAAAGTGGACCAGTCATAAGGATTCATTTTTGGAAATTGAGATCTACATCATCAGAATGCTGAACAAGCTTTCTTTTAATATATGCTTTGATATAGAACAATACTTGTGTGAGATGCAATATCTGGAATAGGAGGGTGCAAACAAAATCTATTCTTATCAATGCAGATTATTACTCAAATTTGAAGATTGATATATAAACAGAATTTGATCACAAATATTAAGGGGAACAAAAAAGCCATCCCACTTCTAATATGCATTTTGGCATAAAGTCTTAAAAAGTGTAAATTTGAATTACTTAAGTTTTTGTGTTTTGTTAATAAAAATTATTTGTGGTTTCTTTAGGAGTACGGTAATGTTTACTAGCAACACTAACACTAGAGTTAAAACATGCAGAGTTAAATTCTCTCTGTAAAAGTGTTGAATTGTCACTCTTTACACTAGAGCAGATTAACAAATAACTCCCAGTAGTGTAGACCAGTTATTTTTAACTCGATAGGGTTTAAATATAACTCATTTATAGTGTTGAACAAGTAACTTTTTTAAGAGTGTTATTTTAATTCTGATAATATTGGGTCAATATGAACACTCATTTGGAGTTGATTTTAACTCTGTTAGAGTTGAAATAACAATGTCAATTTTACAGTACATAATTCTTGGATATTTAGCACGTCAATGAATGATTGTCATGCTCATTTATATGCTGAAAAATTGAGAAAGTGATATGAATGACTGTTTTCCTCAATATTTATGATGACACAAAAAGAGGGGTGGGGCAGGGGCTTATAAGCTTTTAATGGCCAGGATATGTTTTGACGTTCCCTGACATGGGGGTGCAAAAATCTTTCTTATCAATGCATATTATTAATCAAACATTAGGTTTGATATATTAACATAATTTGATCACAAATATTAATGGAACAAAAAAGTCATGCCATTTTTAATATCCCATTTTGGTATAAAAGTCTTAAAAAGTCTAAATTTGAAGTGCTGGCTGTTATATATTAACACATTTTGTTAATAAAATGATTAATAACATTGAAATATTGTTTCTTTTTTAGGAGCATTGTAATGTTTACCAGCTACGTAACACTAGAGTTTAAAAATTCAGAGTAAAATTCTCTCTGTTAAAGTGTTGAATTTTCACTCTTAACTCTGGAGTCAAGGAACAAACAACTCCCAGTAGTGTAGACCAGAGTTACTTTTTTACTTGATAGAGTGTAAATATAACTCTTTAATAGTGTTGTGCAAGTACAAGAGTGTTATTTTTACTCTGGAAATATTGGGACAATATGTTCACTCATTCGAAGTTGATTTTAACTCTGTTAGAGTTAAAATAACACTGCCAATTTTGCAGTGTGTCATTCTTGGATATTTCGGATGCCATTGAATG